TTACAGAAAATGATGTGGTGTACACCCTTGAACATGTCTCACTGTAAACATGATCATTTCTTCAGAGTATATATCTAGAGGCAGAATTACTAGGAGGTAGGCTATGTGCATCTTTAATTATACTGCATATTGCTAAATGCCCATGAAACTGATTATACCAGTATATACTCCTACCAGCTGTACTTGAGAATGTTTCCCTGTGTACTTGCCAGTTCTTGATACTGCCAGATTTTGATTTTCCATTCCTCTTATGGGTGCACAGTGGAATCTTATTTTAATTTGTACTAATTTATAGTGAGATTGAGCTCATATTTTACTGGCTGGATAAGTAGGTCTTCTGTAATTACTTACACAGATCTTTTGACCATTTTTCTAGTGAATTGATTTTTTATATTGACCTGTAGGATTTCATATATTGTAGATACTGATCCTTTGTCAATCATATGAGTTACATATGTATTCTCCTAGTTTGTGACTTGTCTTTTGACACATTTTAAGGGAGAGGAGTTTTTCATTTCAATGAGGTTAAATTTAGCTATTTTTCCTTTATGGTTTTTGCTTGTTGTGTCATGCACAATCCACCCATAATTTATTTTTGCATATAATATGAGACATGGAGACTTTATTATGTAAAAGTATGTACTATATAAAATTTACCACCTTAATCATTTTGTTGTTACTGTTTTGAGACAGAGTCTCACTCTCGTTGCCCAGGCTGGAGTGCAGTGGCATGATCTTGGGCATACCGTAACCTCTGCCTCCCAGGTTCAAGCAATTCTCCTGCCTCAGCCTCCTGAGTAGCTGGGATTACAGGCACTTGCCACTAAGACTGGCTAATTTTCGTATTTTTAGTAGAGATGGAGTTTCATCATGTTGGCCAGGGTGGTCCTGAACTCCTGACCTCAGGTGATCCACCCGCCTCGGCCTCCCAAAGTGCTGGGACAACCATTTTTAAGTGTACTATTCAGTGTTAAATGCATCCATAATATTGTACAATTGGCCAGTTGTGGTGGCTCCCACCTATAATCCCAGCACATTGGGTGGCCAAGGCAGGTGGATCCCTTGAGCCCAGGAGTTTGAGACTAACAACTCAAACCTGGCAAACTCCATCTCTACAAAAAAAAAAAATACAAAAAAATACAAAAAAATTTGCCAGGCATGGTGGTGCATGCCTGTAGTCCTAGCTGCCTGGGAGGCTAATGCAGGAGGATCGCATGAGTCTAGGACGCAGAGGTTGCAGTGAGCCAAGATCACACCATGCACTCTAGTCTGGAAGACAGTGCCAGATCCTGCCTCAAAAAAAAAAAAAAAAAAGCTGCACAGATATTATCACCATCCATCTGCAGAAGTCGTTTCACCTTGTAAAACTGAAACTACCCATTTAATAATGCTCCATTCACCACCAACCCCCAGCAACTACCACGTGCTTTCTTTCTCTATGATTTTGACTATTCTAAATACCTCATATAAGTAGAATTGTACAGTATTTGTCTTTTGGTGACTGGTTTATTTCATTTAGTATCATGTCCTCAAGATTTATTCATGTTGTCATATATGTCAGAATTTCCTCCCTTTTTGAAGTAGAATAATATTCCATTCTATGGATGGACCACATTTTGCTTTCCCATTATCTGTTGCTTCCGTGTTTCAGGTATTGTGAATAGTGCTGCTGAGAACACAGGTGCGGAAATCTCTCTTGGAGAGTCTGCTTTCAGTTCTTTTGGGTATTTACCCAATGGAATTGGAATTTCAGGATCATAGGGTAATTCTGTGGTTTTACTTTGTAGAAACTGGCCATACTGTTTTCCATAGTGGCTATGCTATACTATTTTACCTTCCCACCAACAGTGGCTATGCTATACTATTTTACCTTTCCACCAACAGTGGCTATGCTATACTATTTTACCTTCCCACCAACAGTGGCTATGCTATACTATTTTACCTTCCCACCAACAGTGGCTATGCTATACTATTTTACCTTTCCACCAACAGTGCACAAGAATTTCAATTCCTCCCCATCCTTGCCAGCACTTGTTATTTTTCTTTTTCTTTTCTTTTTTTTTTCTTAAAGGTCTTAAAAGAAAAGGTCTTTTCTTTTAAGAGACAAGGTCTTTGTTGCCTAGGCTGGAGCACAGTGGCACAATTATAGCTCACTGCAGTCTCGAACTCCTAGGCTCAAGTGATCTTCCCACCTCAGCCTCCTGAGCAGCTGGAACTATAAGCCTGCAGTACCATGTCTGGCTAATTTTTTAATTTTAACCTGGCCTTGGATGAGATTTAAATGGGAGGACTTGGAGTAAAGCAGATTACCCTCCATAATGTGTGTGGGTTTTGTCCAGTCAGTTGAAGGCCTTACTATGACAAAGGCTGACCTCCCCTGAGCAGGAAGGGATGCTGCCAGCAGGAGGCATTTGGATGGAAAAGGCCATTCCTCCCCACATGTCCAGCCTTCCCTCCTACCCTGTCAGATTTGGGACTTACCAAGCCTCTATAATCACGCGAGTCAATTCCTTAAGAAGTCAGCCAAAGGGAGGCATGCAGGAAGAGCAACTGCAAGAACCCTAAGGTAGGGACAATGTGGTGTGTCTGCGGGATGGAAGGGAGGCCTGGAGAGGTGACCAAGGCAGGGACGGTGGCTTGAGATGGGTCTGGAGCAACAGACAGGGGCAGATCAAGTAGGCATTGTGGATCACAGGGAGGAGTTTGGAACTTTTTCATTGTAAATCTTCAATTTACAATTGTGTAAGTTTATGGGATACCAGGTGATGTTATGATTTATGAACCCAATGTGGAATAATTAAATCAAACTAATTAACACATCCATCACCTAAAATACTTAGCATTTTTTTTTTTCTGGTAAGAACATTCAAAATTTACTCCTTTGGCACTTTTGAAACATACCATACTCTATTAACTACATTTATCATGCTGTGAAATAGAACGTTCTGTTCTCTTCTCTGCTTCCCTAACCCTCCCCCATCCCCTATGTTCCTTCTCTCCATTGATAGCCCAGCCACCTTCCTCCCAGCCACAAAAGCCAGAAGTCCAATAGTCTTCAATCCCTTTGTCCTCTCCTACTCACTCCCATCCTTATCTCGAGCTAAATTGAGAGAAAAAGGTGAAAGTATAAAACTTTGTGGGATGAAAAAGTAGGCAACCAAAATAGCATCTTACGAAGGGTAATTCATGGTGGATGTGACAAAGGAAAGAAGATAATAAACCTACAAAGGGCTACCATTTTAATATTTCAGAATAGGTTTCCTGGTGATAATTATATTTCAAGGAGATAAGATGTGATGCATATTCTCTTTATCCTGAAAATGTGAAATTGTATCTTCTTGAAACTGAAAATAGAGATGTATACTGACTATGTGGCTATGTCCTGGTTATTAATTATACATTTTTTTATTTTGCTTATGAGTCTGAAAAATATGTGTATAAGTGAAAATAAATCGAAAATAAGCACACCTGAATGAGTTACGTTATGTAAAACTCAACAGTCATATTTTTTAACCAAAGCTCCAACTCGATTTTTAGTCTGTGTCTTCCTAGCTTTCAGCCTTTCAAACAGAACTGCCTGTTAAAGTCCCAGGGTTTTTAATAACAACTGACATTTTCCATTTCTTACTCCCTGCTGTTAAAAAAACTACCAATCTTACAATCAGAGATGACAGCCTCTTCTGTCCAAAGACACAGAAACTACAAAGTGGCTGATTTCCTCGGTGCTTATTTTAAAAAGGAAAGCAAGGCATTATCAGGCAGCTGAGACAGCCACGGCTAACGCATAATTGCCCCACGTTCTTTCTGTTCATCTCTGACACCATCATCTCTTCCCCAGTGTCTGAAAGCAGAAAGGAAGGAGGCTTGCAACTTCATCCTGGGAAGGAGAAGGGACTCCTCTGGGATGGACACTTAACGAAATCTGAATCGCCAAAGAACAAACACTTCCAAGAGAAACCAGACAGTTCTGCTGTGACGCCAGACAGACAGTTCCGCTGTGACGCCAGACAGTTCCGCTGTGACATTCTGACCGCACAAGCAGCCCTTTAGGAGAAAGCCTATCACAAATAACTGTTCCTTTTAGAAAGTTTCCCATGCTATGTGTTTGGGAGTTTACTTTTTGTGGTATATTTATGTGTGAGATGACACTACTTCGAGGAAAGATGTCTTAAACATAATTCAAACCAAGACATCCTGAGGACAAACATACTCTGGGAGGGGACCGTATTTTTGTTTTAAAGCACCTTTAGTTGTCCATATAGCCAATTAGTCCAATTCAACCATGGACCTTATGGAAGTCAACTGAGCCAAGAAGCCACTCACTTTTCTTGAGATCCAAGAAACAGAGAGGTCCGTGAAGTATCCGCTGGGTGGAAGAGGGGCGTGAATCAAGTTTCTTGAGTCAAATACGGAAAATGTTTACTAACTGGTATCTGCTCAGGATCCAACCACCTATGTTGCACACTCAACTACATACTGGGAACAAGGGATCAAAGCCAGTTTTCACTTACAAGACCACAAAGTTCAACTCCTTCATTTAACAGATGGGGAAAATGAGACTTAGATAAATTGGTTTCCTACAGAAAAAAACAATGATTTGTTCAAGGTTGCTCAGCCAGCGTCCTATCCAGCTTCCCACCCCCATAACTGTGTCTCCCTCGGTGGAAGGAAAAGGTGACCATTTGATGGAAGTTGAATCAAACAACCGAGTGGTAAGTCACCAGGAATATCACTTTTCCCTCCCGTCCTGTGGGTTTTATTTGTGGCGATAAATCTATCCCACAGTGAATACAGTGCCCGTGAATGCTGACTGCCTTCTAAACAGTCATGAGAATGCAGCTTACTGAGGCGTCTTTGAAACACTGCTTTGTGAAAATCATCTGAAAGACTCTTTTTGGGCAGCACCAATAAATGGAAGCTTTTATTCTGTCTTCCTGGTGGATTAGCACAGCTTCATCCGCCCTGAGACGAAACGCCATTGAGGAAATCTCTGCACTCACCATGGAACCAGGGGGCTATGGTGTCTGAAGTTTTCTGGTAGCCTGCTCGAAGTGGTAGCTGCTCCTCCTTAAACCACCGGATGATGTCCTCTTGGGCAGAGCTGGACACTGTCCTCACCACTCCCTGATTTCTGTTAAAAGTTTTTCAAGTTAGATTTAACTAATTTGAAAATAATGCCCTCAAAAGTCATATATATATGTGTGTATACGTACACACACACACATAGACATGCATATATATACACGCATGTCTACAGATACCAGAGGTGCCTTATACTTACAAATATATATACATGCAAATATATATACGTGTGTGTGTGTGTAGAGAGAGTGAGAGAATGGGAGGGAGAGAAAATGGGAGGGAGAGATAATTACATACATTTCATGATCTAATTCAATGACCTCAGCTAACAGGAGGCTGGACCCCCTACACACCACCATTATACACCTCCTCAAGGGCAGAAGAGGAAGGAATATAAATCTGTCACTTGTCCTTCCAGTCTTAAAGGGCTAGTTATAAGAATGATCCACTGCTGTGTTAACACATAGATTTAAATTCATTTGTATAGGAATTAGAAGCTCCATTAACTTTCAATTAACATCTGAAAAAAATAAGCATTAAAAGGCAAAATACACTTTTACCCCAGCACATTTTCCTGGAAAGCATGTATTTGCAAACAAAAGAAATCAAATGCAGTAAGACAGATTTCTTTCCTCATGTTTGCATTATTTGATTCACTCTTGTTTCTCTTTCCACTAACCTCCCTGACTTGCTTTCTCCTTTTCCACCCTTTGATGACATTTAGTTCTGCTAAAAAAAATAAAGAAAGAAAGAAATATAAAGTAAAAGGAAGAAGAGTATTTGAAGTTTGGTAAGACAAAGATACAGGCAGCAGAATCATTCTGAAATAGATTCAGTAGCAGAACTTAATTTCTAGGATGCAAGTCAATTTCTACTACAAAGAGTAGCCTTACAATGTAATAAACAGACTTCCAAGTCCTACTCAACAACCTACTAATTTTGAGCAGAATTCAATTTAAACACAACACAACCACCATTGCAGTCAGTGAACTATCCTGTCTGTAGAGGCACCTGCTGGGAGACAAGCGTCTATTTGAGCCAATGAGATGGGCTCTCCAGCCACCCTCCATAAACAGATACTGAGGGGGTCCAGTATCAGCTCCATCCCCTGCCACTGAAATCAAGGAACTACCCATTCCCTGCTGGAATCCACTAGGAGACTAGGAGACACACTTGTCTGCGTCATTAAAACAGTCTTCTGTACTGGAGTCCCTGACCAGTTTCCCCACACAGCCCCTGTACCCTCCTTGAGTTCTTCCTCAGGTCCATCAAGGAAGGAGAGCTGTGTAAATCATAGAGCCCTTGGGAGACTGGCAGCAAGCCTGGGCTTGGAGCGCCCTCTAGTGCTAAGATGGCTGCATTGGTCACAGGCTCAGGAAACATCAGTCGGCTTAGAATTTCTGGAAGGGCCTCTGTAAGACAGGCACAAATAAAGCCAGGCTGTGGAGAGTGGAATAAAAGCCTAATCCTTAAATGTGCAGATATTGTCACACATACACAAGCATCAAGAAGATTCAAATATGACCTCACCAAATGTACAAAATAAGATACCAGAGGTTGAGCCTAAAGTCATAGAGATGTGTGACCTCTGAAACAATTCAAAATAGCTGTTTTAAGGAAGCTTAACAAACTTCAAGAAATAACAGAAGTCAATTCAAAAACATATCGGGGAAATTTAGCAGAAAGACTGAAGTAATTTTAAAAAATCAAATCCTGGAGCTGAAAAAGGCAATGAATAAAATGAAAAATGCAATAGAGGGTTTCAATAGCACACCTGATCAAATGGAACAAATAATGAGCCAGAAGACAGGCTATTTGAAAATACACAGATCATAAAAAAGAAAAGAATGACATGAAGAAAGCTTCTGGGGTCTGTGGGGCAACATCAAAAGAGCAAATATTGCAGTTATTAGAGTTAAAGAGGGAATTCAGGCAGACAAAGGGGTTAAAAGCTTATGCAAAGAAATAACAGAAAACTTTCCAAACCTGGAAAAAAATTAATAGCCAAGCATAGGAAGGTCAAAGGTCACCAATCAGATTCAACCTACACAGGAATACCCCAAGACATACTATAATGAAACCCTCAGAGTGCAAAGACAAATACAGGATCCTAAAAGCAGCTAAAGAAACAAATAACATATAAGACAGATCCAATATACTCGATAGCAGACTTCTCAGAAGAAACCTTACAGGCCAGAAAGAAGTAAGATGATACAGGCTGAGCACTGAAGAAAAAAAAAAATGCAACCAAGAATACTGCACACAGCAAAGTATTCCTTCAAAAAAGGAGAGATAAAGATAGTTCCAGACAAACAGAAGCTGAGGGAATTTACCACTACCAGACATGTCCTATAAGAAATGCTAAAAAATAGTTCTTCAAACATAAACAGGATGCTACCATGATTTTTGTTCTAATACTATCATCATGATGTGTAAACCACTTATATCTTCAATATGAAGACTAAAAAGTGAACTACCAAAAATAACTTCAATAATTTCAGATACGTAATATAAAAATGTAAATCATCACATCAAAAATACAAAATGCTAGGAGAGAATGGAGGTAAAGTACAGTGTTTTTGTTTCTTTCCTTCACAAAGTTAAGTTTGTAAGTCTCTAAATTAACTTGTTATAACTATAGGATGTTTTCTGTAAGTCTTATAGTAACCACAAAGCAAAAACCTATAACAAATACACCAGAAATAAAAAGCAAGGAACCAAAACGTACTACTAGAGAAAAGCGCCTAACCACAAAGACCATAAGAGAAGAAAGGATCTACCGAATAACTAGAAAATAAGAAAGAAAATAGCCATAGTAAACCCTTATGCATCAATAATTACCTTGAATATCAATGGATAAATTCTCCAATTAAAAAGCATAGAGTGGCTAGATAAAAATAAAACAGGACCAAATTATACGTTGCCTACAAGGGGTTAACTTCACCTGTAAGGATATGCATAGTCCGAAAGGGAAAGAATGGGGAAAAAAAGGTTGTATGCAAATGGAAACCAGAAGACAACAGGAGTAGCTACATTTATATCATATAAAATAGACCTGAAGCTGAAAACTGTAAGAAGAGACAAAGAAGGCCAGTATACAATGATAAAGAGTTCAATACAGCAAGAACAGTTATAAATATATATGTACTCAATTAACATAGAAGCACTTAAATTTAGAAAGTAGATATTAATAGACCTAAATTGGGAGAAAGACTGCAATACAACAATAGTAGAGGACTTCAATACCCCACTTTCAACAATGAACAGATCATACCAACAGAAAATCAATAATTAAACCACACTCTAGAAGGTGCCTAACAGACATTTACAGACTATTCTGTCAACCAGCTGCAGAATACACAGTATCTCAACAGCAAACAGAATGCTCTCCAGGAATATATTAGGCCATAAAACAATTCTTAAATTGTTTTAAGTTAAAATTTATCAAAAAATCAGTAATAGGAGGAAAACTAGAAACAAATATATGGAAATTAAACATGCTCCTGAACAACCAATGGGTCAATAAATAAATTTCAGAAACCAAAAATTTTCTTGAGACGAGTGAAAATGGAAACAACATACCAAATCCTATGGGATACAGCAAAAGCAGTTCTATGAGTGATGTTTATTCCAATAAACACACATATCAAAAAAGTAGAAAGATCTCAAATAAGTATTTATTGTCGAACCACAAGAACTAGAAAAACAAGAACAAACTTGACACAACATTGGTTGAAGGAAATATAATAAATGTCAGAGCAAAAATAGATAAAATAGAGACTAAAGAACCATACAAAATACGAATGAAATGAAGAGTTGGTTTTAATAAAATCGACAAACATTTAGCTACACAAAGAAAAAGAGATGACTCAAAATCAGAGATGAAAAAGGACACATCACAACTGATACCACAGAAATAAAAAGATCACTAGAGACTATTGTAAACAACTATATGTCAACAAAATGGAAAACCTGGAAGTAAATAAATTCCTGGACACATACAACCTAGCAAAATTCAATCATGAAGAAAAAGACAACTTAACAGACCAATAATGACTAATGAGATTGAATCATTAATAAAGTATCCTATCAAAAAAAACCCCAGGACCTGATAGATTTCACTATCAGTGTTTTTGTTTCTTTCCTTCACAAAGTTAAGTTTATAAGTCTCTACCAAATCCTATCAATCATTTAAGGAAATACTAATATCAATTCTTCTCAAACTATTCCAAAAAACTGAAGTTGGAGGAATTCTTCCAAACTCATTCTGTGAAGTCAGCATTACCTTCATATCGAAACCAGACAAAGAGACAACAAAAAAAATCTAGAGGCCAATATTCCTGATGGTGATGAACACAAATACAAAAATCCGCAACAGAATACCAGCAAACCAAATCCAACAGCACATCAAAAACATCATTCACCATGATCAAGGGAAATTCATCTCAGGGGTGCAAGGATGGTTCAACATAAACAAATCAATGAACATGACACATCACATTAACAGAATAAAAGACAAAGACCACAAGATCGTCTCAATAGACACAGGTAAAGCATTTACTAAAATTCAATATCCCTTCATGATAAAAACCTTTAAACACATTAGGTATAGAAGGAATGTACCTCAACCCAATACAGGTCATATATGACAAAATCACAGTTTACATGCTGAAAGAGGAAAAATGGAAAGTTTTTCCTTTAAAACCTGGAACAAAACAAGAATGTCCACTTTCATCACTTTTGTTCAACATAGTACTGAAAGTCCTAGTCACAGGAATGAGTCAAGAGAAAGCACTGAACACATCCAAATTGGAAAAGAGGAACTCAAATTGTCTGTTTGCAGATGACCTGATCTTACATACAGAAAACCCGAAAGCCTCCACCAAAAAACTCTTAGTCCTGATAAAATTCAGTGAAATTGTAGTATATAAAATAAACTTACAAAAATCAGTAGCATCTCTATACATCAACAATGGACTAGCAAAAAAAAAAAAAAAAAAGCAATTTTATAATAAAATAAAATAACTAGGAATAAATTTAACCAAGGAGGTGAAATGTCTTTATAAGAAAAACTATAAAACAGTAATGAAAGGAAACAAAAAAATAGACGTCCCATGTTCATGGATTAGAAAAATTAATATTATTAAAATGGATGTACTACCCAAAAAGATCTGATTCGATGTGATTCCTATCAAAATACCAATGATATTTTTCAAAGAAATAGAAAAAAACTTTAAAAATTTGTATGCAACCAGAAAAGACTACTACAAATTGCCAGAGCAATTTGTAGCATAAGGAACAAAGCTGGGAGGCATCATAGTAAATGACTTTAAAATATACTACAAATCTATAGTAATCAAAACAGTGTGGTACTGGCATAAAAACACATACATAAACAATGAAACAGAACAGAGAACCCAGAAATAAATCCACACATTTACAGTCAACTGATTTTCAACAAAAGCACCAAGAACACATACTGAAGGACAGTCTCTTCAATAAATGGTACTGAGAAAACTAGATAGTGATGTGTATAAGCATGAAACTACCTACTCTTGCTAGGTAAAAATCAGCTCAAAATGGATTAAAGACTTGAATGGATGAGACCATGAAGCTACCAGAAGAAAATATTGGGGAAACACTTCAGGACATCAGTCTGAGCAAGGATTTTTATTTTTTATTTGTTCATAGAGATGAGTGTCTCCCTATTTTGCTCAGGCTTATCTCAAACTCCTGGCCTCAAGCAACCCTCCCACCCCGGCCTCCCAAAGTACTGGGATTATAGGTGTGAGCCACCATGCCTAGCCCCAGATTTTTAAAAATAACACCTTAAAAGCACAGGCAACCAAAGAAAAACAAACAAATGGGATTATATCAAGCTAAAAAAGATTCTCCTGCAGCAAAGGAAACAATTAACAGAGTAAAGAGACAAGTTACAAAAAGGGAGAAAATATTCATAAACTGTATCTGACAAAGCATCAATATAGGAACTCAAACTCAATAGCAAAAAAAAGAATCCAAATAAGAGAAAACTTCAATAGGCATGCCTCAAAAGAAGACATAAGAATGACCAACAAGTATATGAAAAAAATGCTCAATACCACTAATCAGGGAAATGCACATCAAAACCACAATATCACCTTGCCCAGTTTTGTATTTTTGGTTATCAAAAAGACAAACAAAAAACAAATGCTGGCAAGAATCCAGAGAAAGGAAAACTCTCATAGCCTGTTGGTAGAAATACAAATTAGTATACTATTATAGACAACAGGATGAAGTTTCTCAAAAAAATTCAAAGTAGAACAAAAGCTCCAACAATCCCACTACTGGGTATATGTCAAATGGAAATGAAATCAGTATGTCAAAGAGACATTTGCACTCCCATGTTTACTGCAGCACTATTCACAATAGCCAAGATATGGAATCAACCTAAGTGTCCAATAATGAATCAAGAAAATGTGGTGTATATACACAATGGAATATTATTCAGACAGAAAAAGTATAATATCCTGTCATTTGCAATAAAAAAAATGCTGGCAAGAATCTGGAGAAAGGAGAACTCTCATTGCCTGATGGTAGGAATATAAATTAGCATACCATTATAAACAGTATGAAGTTTCTCAAAAAATTAAAGAGAACAAAAGATCCATAAAAAGAATAACACCCTGTCATTTGCAACAAAATGGATGAACCTAGAGGACATTATGTTAAGTGAAATAAGCCAAACACAGAAGGACAAACAATGCATGACCTCACTTATATGTGGAATCAAAAAGGTTGATCTTTTTTGTTGTTGTTGAGACAGAGTCTCTCTCTGTCTCCCAGGCAGCCTTCGCCTCCTGGGTTCAAGTGATTCTCCTGCCTCAGCCTCCAGTGTAGCTAGGATTACAGGTGCGTGCCACACCAGGCTAATTTTTGTATTTTTAGTAAATACGGGGTTTCACCATGTTGGTCAGGCTGGTCTCGAACTCCTGACCTCATGATCTACCCACCTCGGCCTCCCTAAGTGCTGGGATTACAGGCTTAAGCCACCACACCCGGCCAGGTTGATCTTATAGAAGAATAGAACAGTGGTTAGCAGAGGCTGGGAAGAGTAGGGGGGATGGTAAATGAGGAGAGGTTGGTCAACTGGCGCAAAGTTACACTGATACAGCAGAAATAAGTTCTGCTGCTCTACTGCACAGCAGGGTGAACAGTCAACAGTAATGTACTACATACTTCAAAACAGCCCAAAGATAGGATTTTGAATGTTCTCACCACAAAGAAATGACAAGTGTTTGAGATGATGGCTATGGAAGTTATCCTGATTTGATCATTACACAATGTATATATGTATCAAAACATCACACTGTATCCCATAAATATGTACAATTATTGTGTGTCAATTAAAAACAAAATACAATTTATGAAACACAACCACCAGAATCAAGTTTGGATGAACTACTAGAATTTCTTGTAATTAACTTAACGGTTCTTTATGCTTTTTCTAACACGTGCTTCTGAGTTATGTGTGACATACTGTCAGATATACATATATAGATGTACATATGCATGTATGTGCATATATTATCCCTAATGATTTTCAGAGCCTTTTGGAGAAAATATCCTATAATATTTGACTTCCCTGGGAGGCAGACACTGCACACATACGAAGTTATATTATACATTATCTTACTAGCTTCCAAATTAGGCTCTTTTTTGGGAAGTCCTTGGAGATGGAGCAAAACTCCACAGACACTGGAGGGGCTGGTCTCTTGTCTTTTCCTGGGGTGGCTCCGAGGTGACCTCTGCCATCCCTGTGTCAAGTTCCAGCTCTAAAACCACCCAGTCTGACTCACAAAAAGCACTTCATGCATTGTCTTAAGTTGCAAAACATGAAGAATTGCCTTTTTTTTTTTTTTTTTTTTTTTTTTTTGAGACGGAGTCTCCCTCTGTCGCCCAGGCTGGAGTGCCGTGGTGAGATCTCGGCTCATTACAAGCTCCGCCTCCCGGGTTCCCGCCATTCTCCTGCCTCAGCCTCCGGAGTAGCTGGGACTACAGGCGCCCGCCACCGCGCCCGGCTAACTTTTTGTATTTTTTAGTAGAGACAGGGTTCACCGTGTTAGCCAGGATGGTCTCCATCTCCTGACCTCGTGATCCACCTGCCTCGGCCTCCCAAAGTGCTGGGATTGCAGGCGTGAGCGAGCCCCCGCGCCCGGCCAGGAATTCCTCTTTTTTAAAGACCACCTTCATTGCTGTCAATCAAATATACTATGCTTCAGAATGCTGTGGGAAAGGGACATCTATCTACAAGTCGTTTCCATGCTACCCTTGGAAGAGATGGAGAACAGGAGTTAGCTGCGAAAACATCCTGCCGAGGCTCTGTCACCAGCGTGCACACGGACAAGCGCCAGCGCTTAGAGGGCCGTGTGCACCTTTGTCGCCTGTTCACACAATTAAGGAGACTCCTATTTCCTGACTACATTTCTTGCTTTGTTGTCGATAAGAAAAGAATCATTACCCAAACCATCACTTTGGAGATCACGGTCTTTACTGTAATTATTTCCACTTACTCTACTGAGTTCCATGTTGGTCCCCATTTCCCAAAATGGAACTTTCCAGTAGGGTAAGTAGAAATAATTATAGTAAAGAAAAAGGTCTGCCTTTGTGTTTCTCCTGAGGTCATCATTCCTGTTTAAAGAGAACCTTGAAGATAACTATCACTGCAAGCAGGGCGAGAGTCTGGTTTTTCATTTCTCCATAATCTTAAACCGAGAAGTATTTCCAGTTTTTTTTTTTTTAGTTTTTATTTCAGAAGGCAAAGGTTTAGACAATTCTGTTTCTTTCAATCAAAATTTGATTTTAATACTTCTTTCTAAATACTAGGATGTTAAAAATAAGATCAATACCAGAAAAAAAATTATAATCAGCAAACATCAGGGATGGGGGTTTCTGTCATAGCATCATCGCACTTTTCTGCAGTTTTTCCAGAACAAATGGTTCTTCCTAATTCTTCCATAGCCTAGGAGACAATGGGATCACCACCACCCAATAGATAATTCATTAAAAACAGGAGCCTTTCCAAATTCTCAAAAGATGAACTGGGCTATGTATCCCAGAATGAGAATTACCATCAAACCTTCAATCCTTGGCAGTGAAAATGTCCTGCGAAAGTCAGCAAGCCTTTGCATTCCTACTTTGATCATCTTTGACTAAGGGGTGATCTTGGGCATTAGTGAAACCCCACTTGTTTCCTGTTGTCCCCTCACTGGCTCACCGGCCGCCTTTGGGGAGTGAAAGGGAAGAGGTGGGTAGGGGCATGGGAAATTCTCTCACTCCATGCACAGCTTTACTATTTCACTGGGTATACTAAGTATAACAGCTACGGACATTTGACAGCTAAGAAGGGGAGGAATGCCCGACCAGATAACCCAGGAAGAAGGCTTAAAGACATGAGCCTGAGCTGCTTACACAGGCTGCCAGGTGACCCTCCACACCCCATGGCAGCTCATACAATTTGCCTTTAATTTCAACGCTTATTCAAAGCCCATTGTAATACTGATGCCTAAACCCATCTGTGTGGCTTCTTACCTAAGAGGTTTTTGAGGATACGCCGCCGGGTTTAGAAACTGAGGCTTGGGTGGAAGGGGAGGTCTTTTGGGTTTCTGTGGAACACGCAGGGGGCTTTGCAGCCTCTCACCGCCTCGTCCTTTCTGGGCCCCGAGGGATAACCTCTTGTAGTCTTCTCGTGCTTGTTTAGCCAAGGAGCGTCTCTTCTCATCAGCTGCTTTGGATTTTCGCACTAGAAAAGCAACGGGGTTGGACAAAACCCTCATCAGCCCACAGAGCAGGTGAGAAGGCTCAGCATTGCACAAAGGGCAGCAGCGCAGGTTCTCAGCAGTTTGTTATCTGCTTATAATAAGGAACAATCATTATCAACACCTGTGATCCAGGTCATTAGGGCTTGCCCAGCGTTCGCTGCAGGATTCCTCTCTTCATACAGGAGTGGGGATTTTCTGAGGGAGAGAAAAGGAAGAGGAGGAAGAAGGGATGAGAGAGAAGTAGAGAAAGTGTGCAAGAATTTCCCGCAGTTGGCAAGACCAAGTGAGGCGTCCCCGCCTGGGCATGGGTTCAAGCTGGCAGGGGTGCTGAGTAATAAGAGACAATTGTCACATCCTGCGTAGACTCATGTTCAGATGCAGTGTGCGTGGCTCACTAGCAAAGGTCAGGACTACTCAGTGGCATGGGCCTGTGCACAGGGTTAAGGAGCAGGGAGCAGGATGAAATGAGAATCAGCCCAACAGGCAAAAAATTAAAGGGATGCTTAACCACAGGTAATTATAGAACACATTAGTACACGAAAAAGTACCCCAAGCCTGCCTTTAAATATTACAGTCACGTAATGGGAGGAATATGTTCTGAGAAATGCATTATGAGGCAACTGTAACACAATAGTATTTGTGTATCTAAATACCCCCAACATAAGGCTGGGCACAATGGCTCATACCTGTAATCCCAGCACTTTGGGAGGCTAAGGTACGTGGGTCACCTGAGGTCAGGAGCTTGAGACTAGCCTGGCCAACATGGCAAAACCCCAACTCTACTAAAAATACAAAAAAATTAGCTGGGTGTGGTGGTGGGCACCTGTAATCCTAGCTACTAGGGAGGCTGAGGAGGGAGAATCTCTTGAAACCAGGAGGCAGAGGTTGCAGTGAGCCAAGATCATGGCATTGCACTCTAGCCTGGGTGACAAGAGCGAAACGCCATCTCAAAAAAAAAAAAAAATACCCCCAACATAGCAAAGGTGTGGTAAAAATATGGTATAGAGGACCAAAAAAACGGTGCCTCTACATAGGGCACTTACCATGAATAGAGCTTGCAAGACTGGAAGTTGCTCTGGGATGAGTCAGTGAATGAGTGCTCAATGAATGTTAAGGCCTCGGATGTTACTACACACTAACGTTGACTTCATAAACACTTTACACTTAGGCTACACTATATTTTTAAAATGTATGCGACCCATTATTTTGGGTTTGTTTTTGTTTTTGCTTTTTTTTTTTTTTGGTTTTGTGTGTGTGTGTGTGTGTGTGTGTGTGTTTGTTTTTTGAGACTGAGTCTTGCTATCTTGGCTCACTGCAACCTCTGCCTTCCTGGTTCAAGCGATTCTCCTGCCTCAGCCTCCTGAGTAGCTGGGACTACAAGTGCACACCACCACAACCAGCTAATTGTTGTATTTTTAGTAGAGATGGAGTTTCACCATGTTGGCCAGGCTGGTCTCGAACTCATGACCTGAAGTGATCCACCCACCTTGGCCTCCCAAAAGGCTGCGATTACAGGAGTGAGCCACAGTGCCTGGCCTAAAAAATATATGCGACCCATCATTGACCAAAACATCATTATACAGTGCATAACTACTTTGTAAAAGAGAATTTTTCATTGTAGCAATGAGACTCTAATGCAGAAGGTAAAAATGATTTTTATTGAGTATATTTACACTTCAGGCATTATTGGTCAAATCCTGTTATACTTGACTTCAAAGAAATACCCAAAATATTCCCTTAGACCAGGATTTCACTGCATAGTACAAAGAGGCCACTGGATCTTGCAAATATTTTCATTTCACAGTAGTTTCCATTTAAATAGCATTGGTTATAATGTAACTGCAGATCAATGTAGGATCTCAACATCCTGCAAATACAGCCATATCTGCTGTCTTCCTCAAGCTACCTCAGGATGATCTAGCAGTTCAGACTTCTCTGAGTCAGATGGAAACACTAATTCTTTCTCAGACCTAATTCTTCTAGCATTCTGGAGCATCCTCGCCTCTGCCTTCAGTTGTATGGGCTTATTCTTCCCCTATGAGCTTTCTTGCAAGCTCTGCTAACTCAGATAGGAGTCAGGGCTGGGTCACAGGCACAAGCGGGATGCTAACAGATCTGGCCTGGTAATCCTGTGTGCTTCTGATTACAAAGTTAAAATGTATTCACTATCAAAAACTTAGGGGAAAAAATCCAAAACACAGTATTAAATTATCAGAAAAGCATTCAAATAAATAATCTTGAATCTCACCTCTCCAAGAAAACTAGTGTTTACATGTTATTATAACCTTCCAGTTCTTTTCCTTCAGATACTTACACATTTCTAAATAGCAAAGCTTTTCATTCTATTTCATGGTGTTTTTTCTTCCCCAAGCTAATGACATATAAACATAGTCTAAGATCATTAAACACTCTTCCAAAACCTATTTTCCATAGCTATATATCACGCTATTTGATAAATTACATCATAATTTTGGTGATACAGAAATGGAGAACCAGTCCACTGTTCAAAAGTAACTTCTAAGCATTTGAGTAATAAGTTAGTAATAACATTTGAGTGGTCACTTACTGTGAAGATCTCTCTCAACAACCCACATTAAGTGCTTTCTAGATTGATCACATTATTAAGTGAGAGAATCAGCTGAGAGCCTGGAAGGTGCTACGGAGACCTCTGGGTACTCACGAGATGCCTGCCATTCCGAGTCTTCTTTCCAGTTCTTACAAATCTGCTTCGTTCTCTCTTCGTCTATTTGATTTATTTCTTCTTCTTGTTTTTTCTTCATGGATTCTTTCTTCTGTTTAAAAACAAAAACAAAAACCAAACAAACGAAAACGAACCTTGGTGAGCAAATCCAGCAGTTTCCTGAAGGACGGGGGTACCCGGCACGGCTGATTTCTAACTCACTCTCTGGCCCACTAGGGAGGATCAAGTGTGGACTTTGGAGTCAGTAAGACCTGAAGCTGGATTGACCATTGCTAGCTAGTGTGTAACTCCAGGAGCAACAACTGAACCTCTCTTGGGCTGTTTCCCCATAAGAAAGATGAGAAGAAAATATTTCTCAGGGTTATACTGAGGATTAGATAACTTAAGAAGTCCCTGGCACAGTGTATAACATATAATAAGAAAAAATATTCCTTTTCCTCACAGTACTTGGCTGTTTCAAATTGACTCCCTGAAGAAGCATGTAAATACACTATTACATAGAACCAGCGTCAACCTACTTTACAGTAGCTGACAGGCCCCATGGAAGAAATGCACATTTCCAGAGCAATCTCAGCTCAGCTGAATCTCTCCCCTCAAATCATGTGTCCCAAAATGTGGTACTTACCACATGATTTTACGTGGTTTAAAAGAAATATATATTATTATTTTTTAAAGACGGAGTCTCACTCCGTCGCCCAGTATAGTGGTACAATCTCAGCTCACTATAACCTCCCCCTCCCAGGTTCAAGTGATTCTCCTGCCTCAGCCTCCCAAGTAGCTGGGATTACAGGCACATGCCACCACACTTGGGTAATTTTTGTATTTTTTGAAGAGGTGGAGTTTCACCACGTTGGCCAGGCTGGTTGCAAACTTCTGACCTCAAGTGATCCACCACTTCAGCCTCCCAAAGTGCTGGGATTACAGGCATGAGCCACCACACCCTGCCAGAACATGTATTTTTTTGTTTAAAAAAAAAAAAAAAAAAAAAAACAACAGAAAAATATTTTTCAAAAGCATCTTTTGAGAAAGGGAAAAATATTTTTAAAATGTGAATATTCCTTTAAAAGGCGAATTAGGTTTTTTAAAAAATTGCAGTAAAATTCCACATAACAAAATTATACCACCTTAACCATTTTTAAGTGTACTGTTTTCCGGCATTAAGAGCATTCAAGGAAAATCATTTTAAACGAAAGAGAAATGAACAAACCAAATCACTTAGACCTGAAAAGTACTCTGTTTATTTGGACACAAGCTTCTGAGTGCTCACAAGAAGACTGAATTTACAACTTGGAGAACTAATAAAAGCCTTGGTTAGCTAAGTAATAAAACAAACTGAAACGGCCAGGAACGGCTGCCTGTGCCCACCTCTCTATCACGAGTGACAGGTTTTTTTCTTTTGTGCTTTCCCATAGAAATATAAAGACTTCCTTGCTCTAATGTCACCACAATGTAAAATATAAACGTTAATGTTGTGAAACTTGTTTCTGATCGCTGTGGGCAGTCGTAAATCGCAGTTTAAGTAATCATCATTCATAAATTGTGCTTCACTGCAGATGTAACTAAACCTCTGTGCATTTACTGTTTTTATTTTTTTCGTTACGTTGTTTTCCTGCCTAGAGCTAGCTCCTTTCGTCTGCCAGCATTTTAAAATCCAAAGGACAGCTTTGATGTTTGAAAGGACTGTTAAGATTTGCCATCCTTTGATTGAAGCTGTTTGCAAGCCCAAGATACATAAATGTGCTGCTAGCAATTTCTAAGCTTAAACAGAAGAAGCTTAAAAGTGGAGCTTTGTTCATCCTTCCACATGCGTACGTGTTTATTTTTAAATGATTAGGAAACATATAGAGAAAACGTCAAGCTATGATCATCACAGATATTGTTGCTGAGGATCAGCAAGAAGTTTGGAACATGATTCTACTAAGAAAAAATATTAATAACAGATGTAGTACTTGGTTGATGTTACTCAAATGTCTAACAGTGCTGTATTTAATAAATCTACTCCTTTAATCTGCATGTAATTATGTACAGGCACAGTGGAAAAGAAGAAAAATTCACGAGTTTCACAGAGTAATAGCAGATGAGATCCACTGTTACTCATCTATTTGCGGCCCTGACCACCGTATTTATTCAAGAAAGCCAGAAAACGTAAGGAACTTGTCCTGAGTCCCTCAAATAATTTGACTTTTAGCAAAATCTGTAATGCTTTACTTTCTCTATTCAGAAGACCATCATTTCCTTTTCAGCAGTGTTTTGCTGGAAGCATGCTGGTCCAGGACTCAGGACTCTGAGCCAGGCATGGGGAAATCCAGGTGATGGCTTGGAGTGGAGGGGTAGAGGGGCCAAGACTGGATGCTAATCCAGATACCCAGGGTAGAAGGTATGGAGACCCAGATGTGTGGGGTGAGCTATGAAAATGTGCTCAGCTAACAGGACCAGAAAATGAGGCCACGCCGGGCCCATACAGAAAGCCACGGGGCCCATACAGAAAGCCTCTTATCCAGCCTGTTGATGGAAGCACTTAGAGTGACTCGCTACCAATTCCTTCATCAGAGCCTCACAACTGCCCCCAAAGCAGGATGGCTCTGTTTTATCACCTTTGTTCTACAGAGAAGCAAGGTGGCTCATTCATTCTCTCAAATGATCAGCCCTTTCCTGACCATGCCAAGTGAGTTCCTGCCTCTGTGTCTTCGACTTGCTGTTCCCTCTGCCTGGAAGAGACGTCCACATGGCTTAGACATCCACATTGCTCCTTCCCTCTTTCCTTCAGGTCTCTGCTCCAATACTGCCTTCCCAGAGTGGCCTTCTCTGACTACCTGTCCCATCCCAATTCCATCCTCCCAGGATTCCTCAGTTCCCTGGTACTGCTTTATTTTCCTCTGCAGCGCTTATGATCACCTGACCTTACAGATATGTTTATCATCTCTCTCTCCCATGAAGAATATAAGCTCCCTGAGGGCAGGAATTTTATTTAATTTTTTCATAAAATGTGTCTCCAACTCCCATAACAGTGCTTAGTGTGTAGTAGATACTCCATAAATGTTGCTTGGATCAATATACGATCCTTTGTCTTCCTCAACTGTCCCCATTTAAAATGACATAGTGAGATCTAAGCAGAATTAATGAAAATGTCCTTTAGATCGCCTATTGCTGCTGTTTTAGAAAGAAGTACATATTATATCAGCAGTATGCATACAGGACTACAGTTCCACAACTTCATCCTGATTTCTTAAAGTCTCAAAAAAGCAAGTTCATGCATGTCCCTGCAGAGGAATCATGGAATTCATGACATGGTCCACAGGAAAACAGGCCCCTGGGCTGACCTCTGCTGTAGCCCCATCTCAGGAACCTTCTCTTCACAGGCTCACATCTTACAATGCTGTTTCAGACTCTCTGTAGGTCAAATCCTACTAGAGCTTCCAAGTACCAGTCTATGCCTCATTTATTTTGAGCAATTTACGACATTGCTTGATAGCAAGCTCACACGATGGAGGAAGCAGGGGTTGGCCCGGAGGGGCAATGTCATATCTGGATGGACGTGAGAGAGGGCTGAGTGCCAGAAGGGGTTCCAGGAGTGGTGGATGTGGAGGACACAGCAGCTGCTCACCCTCAAGGGACAGGTTCAGAAACAATGAGCACAGAAGTAACTTGATCTGAATTCACTCTTTCTGCCAAGTTTAATGCTCCATTTATCACTGTCTGAATCAGTCTTCCCTCCACGTCTGCAGCAGCCTGGGATGCTGCCTCTATGTTAGATCTTCTGGGAGGAGTTTAGCTGATACATCTTGGCATCTGTTCTTTCCATGACATTCAACACTTCCCGAACTCCAGATAAATGGATAAAGATGAAGAACTGTGTTTGCATCTTTTAGGACAGATTTCCCATTCTGCTGCTTAATTTCATTTCTGCATGAGATTAATTAACTAATCTGTGAAACGTTAATGGAAATGCCTAGGTATGCAGCCCCCGGAGGACAGAAGGGAAGTCTTTTACCTGGTGAAATCCATATGCCTTCATACGATTGATTGAATCTGCCAACATTTGTTGAATATTTCTTGAAGAACTGGAGGGTGACTAAAAATTAAACGAAACACATTTATGGCATTTGGACCTACAGTGCAGTTTCGTAAGATAATCTGTCAATGTTTCCCTGGTTTCAACATTCCCTAATGCTGCCCCCACCCCCACAGCTGGATCCACCCAAGACTCCCACTGGACCTGAGTTCCTGGGCTGATCCTGACTACAGCAACAGGCATGTGAATCCTCAGTATTCCCACTCAGTAGGGTTTAAAAAGGAATTGTTGCCCAAGAGCCAGGAGCTGGTGGTTTGGTGTATTTTGCTCCCATCTGGTTGGCCCTGGAGAGCCCTGGGATCACTTCTAGACATCAACATTACCCCCTATTTAAATTCTCTTCTTGCTTAATCTCTGCATACCCTGTTTTAGTGCAGGCCAAAGATATGCCTTAGTCTCCAGATTTAACTAAATGATGTCTTGCAGGCATACCTGGAGCACCAGTTTGGTGCCTGGGAGCCCCGCCCAGTTTCCCTGCCTGGGCTACACTTCTCCTCTCTTCCCACCCTTGTCACCCGGTATCTATGTTTCTGCTGCTCTAGATGGATTTCCCACGAGGCAATTTCCCCAGTGGGGCTCCCGGATGTGTTGCCTAGATTCCCTGGTGTTATTCCTGCCTGCCACAGGCCAACCGTCTGACATTGCAAGTACACCAGCAAATCACAATGGGTGCTTCTTAAGACACAGGCCCCCATCAGTCCCTGGCTGGAGTGCAGAGCCTAAGCTAAGTCCCAACATGGGTAGTCACATGCCCTGAGTAGCGGGATATACCTACCCACAACCCATATTACCACAAAGTGTACGCCTTGTGTCTGAGTTCTTAATTTTGGCATAGATTGGAAATTGTCAGCAAAATTTCAGCAAAAGGTTGGTGCCACCATTCAGAAGGAGCACAGGGGATCATGCCTACACCATGCAATAAACCAGTGGCTTTCTCAGTCTTCCCCTTTTCTCACAGTAGCTGGCATGTGGCCACTCCACTGTACTGCATTTCCCAAACGCCCTAGCATTTGTCTCAACGTAAAGCGGGTGACAACAGGCATTGGCCGTTTCTCCCCAGGCCCACTCAAAACCTCCTTCACACACCCCTCCAGGCCACTTCCACCTTCCTTTGGCTGGAATGGTGACAGCAGCAGTGCTGCTACTAAAGATAGCAGACACTTAGACTACAAAAGCCTGAATCCCTGAATGACTATATGCAGCAGAGCCCTCCTGAACTAGAACACCTATTCTGGACTGTCAGAAGACAAATACATTAACTTCTGTTGTAGTTTTGGCCATGGCATTTGGGGTCTATTTGTCTCAAAAGTTTAGCCTATCAGCTGATAAAACTGGTCACAACAGTTGCTGGTGGCATGTTTCAAGCTCTCTGCTGAGGTTTTGTAGTTAATCACAGGTGGTGAGATTAATGCTAATTCCACTGATGAGCACTCCTGAATACCGAAGACATATTATGACCCGGCACTATGTTAGTGTCTTAGTGTTATTTTCACTCCACACAACACCTGTGATGGATGGGAAACATACTGGGCAATTTTCAGATGAAGAAACCAAGTCTCAGACGAGTTGTGGAGCTTGCTCAGGACCAGACACCTGGTTTGTGCCAGAGTTTATGCTTTTTCCACTATGTCGACATTGTAGTGATAAGAAAATGAGATGCGGGTCAACAGATATCTAATACTTATTACTTGGCAAACTAATGAATAATGTAGGTTTCACAATTGCTACTGACCATATTCTCATTTTAATATTATAAAAGTATGCTTTGCTGCTCTGCATCTAAACTTAGAACAGGAAACAGTTCCTCTATTTGGGAACAGGGTGAACCGTTCCCCCAGGTTTCATGTAAGCGTCTCTGCTCAAAAGTCCAAGATGACTTTGAAAGTCTCTGAGTGCATTTCCACCACCAGGAATGAGAGCTTTAAAAACAGGCCCACTCTCCCTTTCTTTGATGATATAAGATCTTTGGGGCATCGTTTTGCAAAAAGGATCAGTTTCTTATATTTGAAAATTAGGAGGCAGGTAGCCCTTCTTTCTTAATACTTCCTCAAGTATTGCGGAGAATGTTTCAAATATGCTGTGTTTATTACTTGGCAAACTAATGAATCCTGTAGGTTTCACAACTGCTACTTATCATACTTTCATTGTTTTCTCATTTGAATATTATAAAAGGACACTTTGCTGCTCTGCATCTAAAATAGAACAGACGCAGAGCAGCTGTTCCAGAATCAGACAGATCTGGACCTGTCAGACAGATCTGAAACTGGAGTTCTGAACCGAGGTTTTGTCAGCAGCACATTTGCTGTTCTTAGACTTTGAGCTTTTAAACACACTCTTACTTGTTTCCTGAATTAGCATTAGGCGAATAGGCATCTGATGGTTATCTTCTAATCCACGTATTCAAAAGTGTTGTCTATTTTGTCAGTTTCCCCTCAATCTCCCCCCAGTTACTATCATCTGCATGGGTACAGTGCTTTGAACATAATGCATGAGTTACCCTCCATCCCTCAGTTATTCCTTCAACCGAACAGTTCATCTCATGTACACATGAACAATGTTTTTTACTACTTGCTTTCTTTAAACTATCTTATATTTTTTCCTATCATCATTGTATGCCTTTTCTTACTAGTACTTTCATCATGCTCACTGCTTTTGCATTTGTCACATCTGACGCGGTTATGAATTATGTTAAAATAATAAGACGCACAGACACGTGCTCCAGACAGTGTGCATGGAAGCGATGCCACTGGGCACTAAAGTGACTGTGGTGTCCGCCAACACCATCCACTCATGGTAGTTGGAGTTGATGATCTTTCTCTTCTTTGAAATTTTAGGTTTTGTCTTTAGTCTACCAAAACTCACAAGCTTGTTCTGGAGTAAAAGAATTTTAGCATAAAAACTCATTAGGCCCACACATGATGGCTCATGCCTGTAATCCCAGCACTTTCAGAGGCCAAGTAAGGCGGATCACCTGAGATCAGGAGTTCGAGACCAGCTGGCCAACATGGTGAAACCCCGTCTCTACTAAAACTACAAAAATTAGCTGGCATGGTGGTGCGTGGTGGCGCGTGCCTGTAATCCCATTTACTCGGGAGGCTGAGACAGGAGAATTGCTTGGACCTGGGAGGCAGAGGGTATAGTGAGCCGAGACTGTGCCACTGCACTCCAGCCTGGGTGACTGTGCAACTCCATGTCAAAAAAAAAAAAAAAAAAAAATTTAGCTGAACAACCACTCCAGAGATGAATCCTTCTATTTAAACATTTCTAGTCAATGTGTCTAAAACATACTGTAAACTCTAAAGCTATTCACACATACTAAGAACCACATTTATAAAAATTCTACTTTTCATGGTGAACCAAGATTTTGCCATTATTCTAACATGTTAAAATAACATGAAAAGCTTAAAACTTGCAGAAAGCAGGCTCATTTAGATACATTTACACGTTCTACAAACCCATGAAATGCACAAGTAGAAAGCAATAGACTGAAAACAGTGGGATCCAAAAGGCATTTTCCTTATTTAAAAAAAAAAAAAAAAAAAAAAAAACAGCTAGAGGCCAGGCGTGGTGGCTCATACCTGTAATCCCAGCACTCTGGGACGCTGAGGCAGGCAGATCACAAGGTCACGAGATCCAGACTATCCTGGCCAACATGGTGAAACCTCATCTCTACTAAAAATACAAAAATTGGCCGGGCATGCTGACGTGCACCTGTAGTCCCAGCTACTTGGGAGGCTGAGGCAAGAAAACTGCTTGAACCCAGGAGGCAGAGGATGTAGTGAGCCAAGATCACACCACTGTACTCCAGCCTAGGTGACAGAGCGAGACTCTGTCTCAAAAAACACAAGAAAAAAAAAAAAGAAAAGCTAGATGATTAATGGGCTCAAAAGTGATGATTTACGACGGCAATATCAGAGGGGAATACCTCAGCAACACCACTGCCTCTTTGAAGCACTCCTAGAGGCAGGATGAAGAGGCTTTTCAAAGAGGGTACCACGCCCTCTCTGAAGCTTCCATATGCTGCTATGACCCAGGAAATACACTCTTTAGTTATCTCTGTACCAAAAACGGGAAGAAAATGACCCTCCTACCTGTATAATTTTTGCTTATAAAGCACTTTGAAGTCTAATACATCATTTGACCTTCATATCAGGTGTCAAAATAGGTCTTATCCCTTTACCGAAGAGGTAACGTGACCTGTTTTATTGGTCGTTGTGTTTTTGTTCTTGAGACAGAGTCTCGCTCTGTTGCCCAGGCTGGAGTGTGGTGGCATGAACAGGGCTCACTGCAGCCTCGACTTCCTGGGCTCAAGTGATCCTCCCGCCTCAGTCCCCCCAAAGTAGCTGGGACTATAAGCGTGCATTACCACATCTGGCTAATTTTTTTTTTAATTTTAGTAGAGACAAGGTCTCACTATGTTGCCCAGGCTCATTTCAAACTCCTGAGTTCAAGCGATGCCCCCCCGCCAGCCTCCCAAAGTGCTGAGATTATAGGTGTGAACCGCCACAACTGGCCTAAGTCGACCTGTTAATAGGTAGGAGGACAGGGACCCAAACGCATGTCATCTGCATGTCTGAAGCTTGCTCCTTCCTCAGGGTCTCCCAGAGAGAACATATGTATGCTCTCACGTGTAACAGCCACTGTGGTCATCATCCATCTGCCACATTACAGAAATTCTTGCAGCTGCTGGAGCTCGATGAACAGAGTTAAAGCAATCTTATCTGCCTCATATCTGCTCTATTTAAACATAAAAACTGCCATGAATATTTATGTAAAAGTTTCCAAAAAAGAAAAACTGAACGCTAATAACATCAGAAGCTACTGGACTTCCTAAAGACATCGAGTCAGAATAACCCTCTCTAATCAGTGAAGATCCCAAATACATCTGGGGGTGTAGCGTATCTGATTGGCCAAAGGACGGTATGAAAAATAATAGCTATAGTTAAACTTAGAAGTATGGCAGTTCAAATCTACATAAGCAACTGGGTTACGAAAAGATG